ATGGAGCAAGAGGTAAAGGCCCTGTTAGCAAAGGAAGCTATAGAACAGGTGTACTCACCCGACAGAGAGTCGGGTTTTTACAGCCGTTATTTCATTGTTCCAAAAAAGGATGGGGGGTTGCGTCCCATTTTAGATCTTCGTCTGTTGAATCGTTCAGTACAGAAACTCAAGTTCAAGATGCTGACACTCAAACAGATCGTGACTCAAATCAGATCCGAGGACTGGTTTGTCACGATAGATCTGAAGGACGCCTACTTCCATATCTCCATCCTCCCTCAGCACAGGAAGTTCCTAAGGTTTTCTTTCGGGGGCAAAGAATACCAATATCGGGTTCTTCCTTTCGGTCTAGCTTTATCACCCCGCACGTTCACGAAATGCGTGGATGCAGCTCTAGCCCCTCTCAGGCTTCAGGGCATACGTATTCTGAACTACATCGACGACTGGATGATTCTGGCGGAATCAGAGCAGTTGGCGGTTCGGCACCGAGGTGTCGTTCTCGCTCATGTGCAGATGTTGGGGTTGAGGCTCAATGCCAAGAAGAGTGTTCTTTCTCCAGTACAGAGAACCACTTTCCTTGGTGTGGTATGGGATTCAGTGACGATGCGGGCCACTCTATCGCCCGTTCGTGTAGCTGCTATCCTGACAGCCACCAAAGAGCTAAAGCTAGGCCAGTCACGCACTGTGAAACAGTTCGAGAGACTGTTGGGTCTCTTGGCGGCAGCGTCCAACGTGATACCTTTTGGCCTGCTGTACATGAGACCTTTACAGTGGTGGCTAAGGACCAGAGGATTCTCCCCGAGGGGAAACCCACTTCGTATGATCAAGGTCACGCGGCGGTGCCTTCGTGCCTTAATTATATGGAGGAAACATTGGTTCTTAACCCAGGGTCCGGTATTGGGAGCTCTTTGCCATCGTGTTACGATCTCGACAGATGCTTCCCTCACCGGCTGGGGAGCGGTAATGGAAGGCCGCTCGGTTCAGGGTCTGTGGAAAAGTCATCATCTTTCGTGGCACATCAATTGCCTGGAGATGATGGCTGTCTTCAATGCGTTGAGACAGTTTCTCCCAGACCTGAGGGGCCATCATGTGCTTGTACGAACAGACAACACATCAGTGGTCTCTTATCTGAACCGTCAGGGGGGTCTGCGGTCGCGTCCGCTTTGCAAACTGGCGCACCAGATCCTCCTGTGGTCTCTGGGGAAGGTACTCTCCCTGAGGGCAGTGTATATTCCTGGGGACCAGAATATGGGCGGTGGAGAAAATTTGGGAGTTTTACGGCCAAGCAGAGGTGGATCTGTTTGCGTCTCAGCATACGACGCACTGTCCACTTTGGTTCTCCCTTACTCACCCAGCCCCCCTGGGGCTGGATGCTATGGTGCAGACGTGGCCGAGGCTACGTCTGTACGCATTTCCCCCTGTTGCTCTGCTCCCAGGAGTTCTGGAACGAGTCCGCCAGTACGGAATAAGCCTACTGCTTGTAGCACCACGCTGGCCGAGTCGGATCTGGTTTGCGGACCTGATCCATCTCTTAGACGGTCCTCCCTTGGAGATCCCGATCAGGAGAGACCTTCTGTCTCAGGCCGGGGGCACAATATTTCACCCTCGACCAGAGATTTGGAACCTGTGGGTTTGGCCTCTGAGGGGGCCCAACTCATAGAGAGTGGTCTCTCAGCTGAGGCTGCTGAGACCATCCTAAGCTCCAGAGCTCCAGCTACTAGGAAACTATTTGCGCTGAAATGGAAAGTTTTTTCTGTATGGTGTCACCGACATCAGTGGGATCCGGTTAACTGTTCTGTGAACACAGTACTCGAGTTCTTGCAGGAGCGCTTTACGTCAGGTTTATGTCCTTCCACACTTAAGGTTTACGTGGCGGCCATTGCGGCTTACCACGCCCTGGTGGGGGGTACATCGTTGGGTCGAGACCCCCTGATTACACGTTTCCTTCGTGGCACATTGAGGCTGAGGCCTGCAACTCGCACTAGGGTGCCAGCTTGGGATTTGGCAATAGTACTAGAAGGCCTGTCTAGGGCTCCATTCGAGCCCTTAGATTCGGTTTCAGAGAAATTTCTTACCCTTAAGACTATCTTTCTACTAGCTATTTCGTCCCTTAAGAGAGTTGGAGACCTTCAGGCCCTTTCGGTTTCCCCCACTTGCCTTGAGTTTGCACCGGGGATGGTCAAGGCATTCTTATATCCGAAACAGGGATACGTCCCTAAGGTGCCGACCTTGATTCCGAGGCCTATCGTGCTGCAGGCTTTCTGTCCTCCTCCTTTTACATCTGCGGACCAGGAAAGGCTGAACCTCTTGTGTCCAGTGCGAGCACTGGATACTTATGTTCATCGGACATCTTCAATGAGGAAGTCCGACCAGTTATTTATTTGCTTTGGATCACCTAAGAAGGGTCTTCCTGCTTCTAAACAGACGGTTAGTAAGTGGATAGTCGAGGCTATTTCACTTGCATTCGAGTACTCTGACCATCCGTGTCCCTTGGTGGTCAGAGCTCACTCAACGAGGGGTATGGCGGCCTCTAAAGCCTTGTTATTTGGGGTTTCTCTCCAAGACGTTTGTGATGCGGCAGGCTGGTCCTCACCGCTCACATTCGTCAGGTTTTACAGTTTGGACCTGGATGCTGCCCCAGGTTCTCAGGTGCTTAGTGCTTAGTTCCAACAGACTGACACTCAGGCACTTGGAATTCTGGCGTTTTGGGTATTCTCGTTCCCAAAGCGTCAAGTGACGCATCGCGAGTTCCCTCGAAAGGGAACGTCTCAGGTTACTACTGTAACCATAGTTCCCTGAGAAAGGGAACGAGACGATGCGTCACCCTGCCATACTTCCTGCATCCCTGTGATCGGCTTGCTTCGACTTTTTGAAGCTAATGCCGCGTTTCACCGGATGTGCTCTTATGCCTTCCTGGTCATGACGTCACCCGCCCGTGATGCTCATTCTTTCCATTGGACTAGTTGACATTGATGCTCAGACGCATTCACGCTGGGGGCGTTCCCAAAGCGTCAAGTGACGCATCGTCTCGTTCCCTTTCTCAGGGAACTATGGTTACAGTAGTAACCTGAGACGTTCTTCAGGAAACATTCAGACAGTGTTTCGCTCCAGTTTAAAATCAGATATACTTCACATTCTTGTCTGTCTTCACAAAATTTGGCATTCAAATATTGAGAACGCAAGAAGTAAAAATGCAAAAAAAATTAATATCGTTTAAAAAAAAATATCGTGAATTATTTTGGCCACAATAACCGTGGTGTGAAAAATCTAACATCGTGACAGCCCTAGCTTCGCTTCATTTATTAAATTTAACAGCTGTGAATTGCACACATATATTTTTGACGCTTAAATTATGTTCTTAATTATGAATTTATGAATTAACGGCCAGAATCAGAATTTAAAATGGACTGAATAAATCTATCTCTACGAACTTGATGTGCGATGCCGTGCTGACTGACATATGCGCATTAATCACTTTCAAACGCCCGGAGGACGATGAGAGCGCAATCCAGATGATCCAGAATTGCACTAGCTGGAACCCAGCATCTCTCGTCCGGACCATAGCCCTCCCAGTCTACCAGGTATTGATGACCTCTACCCCTTCGTCTGACATCAAGGAGCCACCGTCAAGTCAAGTCAAGTCAAGTCATCTTCATTTATATAGCGCTTTTAACAATGGAGATTGTTTCAAAGCAGCTTTACAGAGATAAACATACAATTTACGGTAACAGAGATTGTTTTGGCTTTATAGCGATTTTGAATAATGTTATTTCCGGCTAAAGTTGGTTTTGATTGATTCACTTCCAGCAAAATTATCATTTGTTATTACATTAGGGGCCACTAAGACGACGGCGTTCTCTCTAAACAGACTTTAAACGCGAACCTGTGACCTGATGGCGTTCACATGCGCATTAAAAATTGATTCTATAGTTATATTCGTTTGAATATGTGTGCGCAGGTTTGTAATTTCCCTACAAACCATGCCTAAACAAACTACTTGTCTTGCCTATAAATTTGATAGAGAAAGGGGGAAACGTCCCATGTAAGCTGGTGACCCCTCGATGAGTCTAGGGACAGAGGTCTGGGGCTAAAGGGGGAAACAAATGACGGGCTTGATCTTAGAGATATTCTTCATCTATATTTAAACGGGGTTAATTTGAGTTGAACCAACATCGGTCTGAGCACCTTAGTGATATAAAAATGATCCAATAAATTTGGGCCCCAGTTTACGTGAGGGAAGCCTAAGAGGAATGTCCTGGGATGATAACCAGACCTTATGACCAAACATGTGGGGCTTAGTAAGGTGACGGTCCGTCGATGCCTTGTTCCTGTTGCCAGTCCGAATCACTGCTTCTCTGGCGATCCTCCATGTACGGAGGCATCTCTGAATAAATGCATGCACGGACAGAACAATGGCGTCAGATTTTTGAGAGGGGAATAACGGTTACTGGTAGGCTAAACAGCACTGGAAGGGAGACAAACCCATAGATAAAACCAGGAGGGATTTATGCACGTACTCGACCATGGTTAATCTGGAACTCCAAGATGACGGTTCCGCAGACGCCACACAGCGCAAGACCCTCTCCAGATCCTGGTTAGCACGATTGGCCTGACTGTTAATCTGCGGGTGATACCTGGAGGATAGACTCGCAGTTGCCCCAAGCTGTCGACAGAGCTCTGTCCAAAACTTAGACACAAATTGGGGACCCCTGTCAGTGACCACATTCACCGAGACGCCATGAATACGGAAAACATGATCTAAGAGAACAGATGCTGTCTACCTCGCTGTGACAAATTATTGAAAGTCAACTCATTTAAATGGAGCACTTTTAATTAGATCTACACTGTCAAACTTGGAAATGTATTCCACGGAAATTATTTTATTTGGTATAACCTAAAATAATAGTTTAGACTGAGTAAATAAAACCAGTAAAATAAAATGTTACAACATGAAGCACATTTTTTAGGTCACCTGACAAAACGGCATTGATTTTCTTTACCAGAGTGTAGCTCAGAGGACATTCCTACTCTCCTGCATTTTGCTGCCCAGCATGGATTACGAGATCTGGCTAGTGCTCTGCTGCAGTGTCCTGGATCCCGGCAGGCCCTAAAGGTCTCCAACAGTCATGGAAATACGCCGTTGGATCTCGCACATGTACATGGACACGAGCTCTACATCCTCCTACAGGAGTCATTGGTGAGTGAAACTTCTGAAACATAGTTATTAAATTTTTTTTTATCAAAAAAAATTATTGTCTGAAGACAAAAGTGTCATTATTCAGTGCAGTTCAAGTTTTGTTCTCATCCGATAGTGTCAGTATAGTCATATCAATAATATTATTAAGTGTCCCCAACAAAGCAAGCCAAAGGTGACAGAGTGATAGAAGGATATAAATGAAATGGATGGATGATAGAAATGGAGAAAAAGCCATGGAAACCAGGCTCAGTCAGGGACCAGTTCTCTTGCCAACAGTAGATAAATGGACATGGTGTTATATTGATAACAGCTGACAACGTCCTTGTTGTTTTATATTGGTCTGTGATTGGTTCACACACCAACAGATTTATATATCATTAGATAGGGTAAAGTACCATTTCTCTGTTTTGCGGTAAAATGCTATAGATTTGCACTCAAATACGGAAGGCTTATCATTCGCGGAAATCAACACAGTCTATTCATTATTACGCAGACGAATGTCAGCTTTTTCATAGAAAAAAAAGTAAGTTAATACCTTAATCCATTCCGAAGCTATTAATAGATATGTCAGGGGTGCGCACTTTGACGCTCTAGAGTCAGTCGACTTTGAAGGGTTAACGAGATATATCTAAACTCTCCACACCTTATTACCTTTTTGGTTTACTTCTGTTGGAATGATACCTTTGTACCAGTCGCACTGAGACATTTCAAATGATACCAAACATGTATAGTGTTGTATGATAATTGTTCACATTAAACCATATACATTATTGGGTGAATTTTAGGTGATCTTAGCATGAGAGAGAGAAGGAACGGGGGAATGGCGGGTCAAGGGAAAGAGATGTAGATTAGGATGATGCTTAGGTGAGACTTGCGTCTCGAATGGTGATACTAATTTCAATAGAGAGAGTTCAAATGTTAATTTGAACATTAATTACTGCTTAATGTTAAGCAGTTGCATGGTTTGCAGATAACATCAAAATGTTAGCACAGCTCTCTGCACAGCCCCATACCCAAGTGCAAGGTTTGTCCATTGAGTCAAGTGATGACAGTGATAATGCTGTTCCCGAAGAGGTCTCTTCTGAAAACAGTGACTTTATTCCAAAGAGGAATAAAAAATAAAAAACATTTAAGAAGCCAAAATCAAAGTCACGTGCCCTTAGCTCAGACAGCAAGTCTGATCCTGCTGTGAGGAAAAATATGCCAAAGCCTGCCTTTAACACACTTAACAATGATGACCTAAACCCTCCTGAGATACAGTGTGGTCTAGCATGTCATCAAAAATGCTGCCTTTTCTGCACAGACACACTCCAAATGGCTGCGTTCCTTCTCAGGAAAAGTACCAAAGCTCCCAGATGAAGCTTACTTTGATACCTGGTGTCTTCATGTTGACCTTCTGTTGCAGGATTCTCTTCCAATAGATATCCAGCGAAGGAAAATCCTAGAAAGCCTCTTACCACCAGCTTCCGATGTGGTTCTAGAGCTTGGTTCTCCAGCTCGTCCTAGAGACTACGTGAAGCTCTTAGACTCTGCGTATGGGTTAGTTGATGATAGGGATGAAATCTTTGCCTGATTCCTGAACACCAACCAAGATCCTGGTGAGAAAGCATCTAGTACTGCGGTTAGGAGAAATGGTGTAAAGCAGTCATTTGCAGATATTTAGTTGCTGAAACAATTTCAGCGTGGCTGCTGGGATCATTCGTTAATATTTACCCTTCAGCTGGAATCCAAAGCCAAGATACAACCAGACTTTGCAGAGCTTTTGGAAAGAATGCAACAACACGTAGGCAGTTCGAAGCACAAAGTTCTAATTCACATACAATCTGTTGTTGACATGTCTCCTTACAGAGACTCAAGTGTGTTGCAGACCTATATTTCGGAAACAGAGGCTTTGAGAAAACAGGTGGCTGATCTCCAGATGCAGCTTAGATCCGCCAAATCTAAGAAAAAGAAGAAACATAAGTCCAAATTAACAGAATACCCAAAGACTGTGACACCTAAAGTGGAGATGCAAGCTCAACAAGTGTGGTGAAGATGGCCACATAACTAGGACATGTAAAGGTTCCATCAACAAAGCGAGTCTGGACCAAAAGTACAAAGAGCTCAAGGTGAAACAAGATGAATGGAAAGTGAAAAAGGGAGTGCCATTAAACTGGACGGGGTTTCAGAAACGTGACATACTAGGGCCCATTGTAGCAAAGAATGACCCAATGAACTGAACCAAAAAGAAGCAAGATGTCAAGCTCACTCAAGTCTTCCTACTCATGAAAGTGAGTTAATCTCTGGCATAATCTGTCCTAAATGCATAGCTGATATCATTTTTGAGGGACAAGTTTGCAACTCGCTTCTTGATTCAGGGTCACAGGTGACCACTGTGTCCAAGTCTTTTTGCGACACATATTTGTCATCCTCTCCATTCCTCTTTCTTAATGATCTTATTGAAGTTGAAGGAGCTGGGGGACAGACTGTACCATACTTGGGCTATACTGAAGTTAGCATACATTTCCCAGAAAAAATTGCAGGAAAAGCTGAAACAGTCTCCACACTTGCACTTGTCATTCCTGACTACAAATTCAACGCTGAATTTCCAGTACCGGTTGGCACCAACACCCTTGACATATTGTTTAACCCTCTGGGGTCCAGATGTTTTCTGGGTCCTGGAGGTATGACATGCTCTGACATTTGTGCTTATGTCTGTTACTTGCAGAGGCGGCGCCAGGGGGGGTCTTGGGGGGTCTCAAGACCCTCCCAAAAAATGCTTTGACCCCCCATTTGACCCCCCACCCCCTTCCTGATTAAAAAATATATATATCCGGGATAAATATTTAAAAATGTTTATCTTCAAACTACGCAGAACAATAATAATTAATAATTTATTCGACATACAAAATATATAAACATAAGAATCACGTTCCCTCTAAGCTGCGCGCGTGCGCGGTCGTGCACTTCTGATGCCGCGGCCGCGCAGAAAAGAATAATATGCCACGCGGAGGACTGACGCGAAATGTGTGGGGAAATCCATTTGATTGAATGTGAGAAATAATTGCAGTGCTCAAACTGGTGAGTGCAGTTAACATGTTTCAAAGAAAGAGAATGATGTGAGCGCGTGTGATTGGCAGTGAGTCGTGTGTGCGGACCAAATATCTCAATACGAGAGGCGACGAGAAACGCAAAGACATTTGAAATAAAATCACAATATCATGTTTTAAAGAAGAGTGGTTTGATTAAAGTGGTGGAAATAACGGATGATGGACACAGAATGGTAACAATTACACACCCACCCGCGTGCAAACTCAAAATACATCATTAGTTTACATAGATTTAAATAGTTTCAGGCATGGTTAGATTAGGCTACTATAAAAGAGTTCACATATTGACTTTTCTTGAAAATATTTAGCTATTAGATCTAGCTATTTACAGTAAATGCTTCAGTTTGTTTTCATATTATAATAATATAATATGAAAACAAATTGAAGCATTTAAACTATCACTTCAAATACTTCAATTCATTTTTTTATATTATATTATATTGGGCATATATTTTATTATATTATAAGCCTAAATAAAGAATCTCACAAGGGTATTGTTTAGGGCTCACTGCCATTAAAAAGTTTGAAACCCCCTGCTAAAGAAAATATAGGCTAGGAAATTCATAAGCTATAAACAATCATTTAACTTTGATGGTTTAATGCTGCCTGTACAATTAATTGACTGTACAAAAACACTTTATGGATTTCCTAAACCATCTCAGTGTAACAGCTTAATTTTCTTTTATAATATATTATATTATTGTAAAGAATTGAACTGTCCTGCAGAAGATTTTGTAAATAATTTTTCATAGGAATTCTTAGTATAGACTGGAAACAGAGGACACCGAGGAATTGGAGGATGAGGAGGATACTATTTTGTAAATATGTTTTCTGTCATGGGTGTGGCTATGGCAATTAAAGTTTGAGCATATTGTTTGCAAACTGCAATTGATTAATTAATTAAAAACAAAAAACCGTCGGTGTGTGAATGGGTGAATGTGAGGCAATATGTAAAGCGCTTTGGTGGCCATTGGGTCTGTGAAAGCGCTATATAAATGCAGTCCATTTACCATTTACCATTTGTTAAGTAGCAGCAATATGCAGTTATTAGCCGTGTCCACTGTATTTTTTGTTGGTTTTCATGAGACCCCCCTTGAAATGACCAGGACCCCCCATTGCCCCCCCAATCAAAATTGTCTGGAGCCGCCACTGGTTACTTGTGACATTTTCATGGCTAAAGTCTTATTAAAATGTATTCAGCACAAACTCTGCTACAATAATATGTCAGCAGCATGTATGTAAAAGTTTGTAGTTTTGAGATAATGACATTTATGCGTGGTTTGTGAAAAAAAAAGATTGTCACTGAAATAAGGTCATGAAACCCATACTGATTATTTCTTCACAAGACTTTTGAAAATTGTATCACGTAGCCTAGAATATTTGCTTCAAAACTATATGAAAATCATCCTGCATACTCATTCAGATAAAACAATATATTGATTTAAAATTTGTAAGACATGTTTCGTGTAAGAAAGGTCTATGCGAGGAGGGCATGAATCATTATGAATACTGATATTGTTTCACACCTGAGAAAGACCCTCCCATCATGGCCCTATCAGGTGCTATAAGGCCCTATCATTATGAGGAACATTGCACAAAGAATGAGGAGAGGTGTAAAAAAAGGTGTAAAAGACTTGAACAGTGTTGTGAAGCTGCAGTCCTCGTCAAGTCTGACTAAGGGAACTCTACATTGCAATTTTATAAAATAAAATTGCATATATATATATATATATATATATATATATAATGAACACCAGGTTTGTTGTGACTTGTAGGCATATACGTGTAGGGCTGCACAAAATAATAATAACAATAGCCTATAGCAGGCGGCCTATAAATCGTTATAAAGGAACACTTCAGTAACACTACACTAGAGAAAAATATATGGATTATCATATATTACTTCATAGC